TAACTAGTGGCAGACACGGAGCAGACTGAAGTATGACTCAAGAAGCCCGACAATATAAACATTTAGAAAAAGTTGTGGAAATCCAACCATCCAGTCCTCTAAACTTTTGGCCACACGACTGGGCATGTATACATAAAGACCAAGTTCACTCATTTTGTTCAACCCGTCTGCAGTGGTCTCTCTACTATAAATAAATGCCTTGTGAGTCTATCTCTGGGGGAATAAAAGCTCTGGTGCACCTGTTTTAGGAAGTAGCTTCAGACCGAAGGATTTGGAGTCTTATTTCCTGATATTTGGACATCTCACTTAGGGATGTACATAGTTAACCGCTTAACTGGTTAATTGCCATTAATGTTGCAGCCGGGTAAGCTAGCTTTTCCCCTTTAACCGTTTCAAGTCCTTTTGCTGCGCTGGGTGTAATATTTGTGCCACTAGAGGGTGCAAGAGCGCTGCTATTAAATATGTTTACTGGGCGACCACAGAAGAAGCAATGAGCTCGTCACATGACAAGTGTGCTCAAACAGGAAGCGGTTAACAACAAGGCGGCGTTGAAGCCGTTTTCGTTCTGGGAACACGATAAGCCTCACACCAAAGAGCTGAGCCTGGCAGGACGCGGTGCAGCAAACTGAACCGAGACCAGCAACAGGTCAGTGTGCCGAGTTTGTCTAGTAAACAAAGAAATGTCAAGTGTAATTATTTAGTTCAATGTAAGAAATATGTGTTTTAAAAAAAACTGCGGCCTCCACAATACGCTTATAAGCACACAATCGCTAGCAGCGCTGTGTATTTGATGCCAGACGGTCCGCTGAGCAACAAGATCTGAGTCTGACGGACATTCCAGCGGTGATCCCACTCTCTCTTTACTTCTTATCTATCTCGTTCTCTATCCAATTCATCACAAATGTAACGAGTGTGGGACTTTCCTAGTGCGTCAGAATTATATTAAAATGAGTAGTACAGCGGGGGCAAATGCTTGGGGGGGGGGGGGGGGGGGGTCCGGTTGACCAGCTATTAACTGTCAAGCCGGTTAAAGAAATGTTGGTAAATGTGCCTCCCTGATCTCACTTCTAAGTGACTCACAGCAGCAGCACAACTCTACCACCTGCTCTGTTTGCAAGTTTTATCTCCACTAATAACTTAAGCCTGGAGTTCTGCCATGTGGTACAGTTGCTAATGCTAACAGTTAGCTTCTACTTTTCGAGATGTGCTTTGTTCAGCCTTCACTGTCACGAGCCAAGATGGGTGAGTTCATGAATGTTAGCTTCTGACATGCTAATGTCACCGGCTTTTCTTATCAGAAATTCCCTGTATATTTTCTGTCGGCAGCTAATGCCGGAAATAGGGGTAGAAGACTATTATTTTCACGTTCAGCCTGCATGCTGAACTCAAAGTCACCAGTCATATTCACACAGAACATGTGAACGCCTAAAACAGTCATGATTGCAGCCTCTTCAGGTTCTAACTCTGCATTACATTGAATTTGAATAAGCCATTGCTAATGGAAGAGGAACCTTACGCTTCTGGTACCGTGTTCCGTAGCTGCAGTGCACTGGACGGCAGCCGGGTCTTGGCCAGTGACGGGAATGACGGTGTTTGGTAACGACTAATCTAACCGTTACTCTCTTCTCTTGTCACAATGCCGTTTCTGTTACTAATAAGAAAATACATGCGCTACTATAATTCAGTATTGTGGTGTATTGAACTGTCAGTGCATCATGGCCCATGAGGAACAAGGAAGATGTGATCAGTAGTTGTGGCTGCAGACTCAGAGACCCGCAGATTTGCTGCTGCAGGCGTGAATCTGGTCTGCGGTCTGTGGGTTTGCAGCTGAACCTGACTTCCCGAAGGCCCGCTCACCTGTTCACTTCAATAATTCCTCGTCACGGCCTTCTGTCTTCTTATATCATGCAAGTGGAACCTGTTCTTGTTCATCTCTTCAGTCCCGTTGTAGCACTGATTGTGTCAGTCTCCGACTCCATGGGCGTTACTAGAACTGTGTCTGTACCACCCAGCTTCAGCTCTTCTGTTTTTGGGTCTGACCCAAGTTAGTACATGTTAGTCCTTGATCAGACTGGTGCCTCTTCTAGTGTCATTTCAAAGGGATACTAGGCAGTTTGGCTTGCTTTTAGCGCCCCCTAGTGTCTGGAGCAAGACCAAAACATAGCTCCTTGCTGTGCTTTTGTCTTTTTAACACCTTAATCTAACAGCTGAAACGTCTCCCAGCATTCCTAAGTGTCTAGAGGAGTCATTCATTAGTAATTCATTACTACATTAAACACATCAGCTGTGTGCATGATTTAAAACATGCAGGAAACATGTGTATTAGCTCTAAGTCCCAAGAGACCGGACCGGTGTCGGTACCAGATCGGCTCGTGGTACTGTGTCTGCAAATTATGTCACAGTAGATGATTGGCTGAAAGTAAGACTTAGGGAAGTTACGATGCCACGTTCATAAAAGTTACGCTAGCGCGTTGACAATGATGATTCTGATAGGTCAGAACGAATGTACGATTGTAGTCTTAGCGGTTGTAGTCTTAGCGGTTGTAGTCCTGTAGTCCAAACATCAAGACTTTTCAGAGAAAATATGTTAGACTTTCTAAAGGAAATGTAAAATAAAAGCAAAGATATCAACTGATAACCTGTGACCCTCAAAAGCTCTTGATTTGAAATGAGGCAAAATAAATTATAAGAACTTCATTGAAAAGAGACCATTTTGAATGAATGAATGAATGAATGCATTTCCATAACAACTAAGGGCATATCCAAACAAATTCCACATTCACACAAACAGAAATGGCTTCATATATAATAGGGATGCACGTTTGCCAAAATGTCCGTTAACAGTTAATAGCCGGTTAACCGGAAACCAACCAAAAACACACATGTCTTACATTGAACTAAATAGTTAGACTTGACATTTTGTTTACTAGACAAATTAGGATTCAGACACAAAGAGCATCACGGCACACTGACCTGTTGCTGGTCTCGGTTCAGTTTGCTGCACCGTGTCCTGCCAGGCTCAGCTCTTTGGTGTGAGGCTTATCGTGTTCCCAGAGTGAAATAACTAAGAATAAACGACTCCAACGCCGCCTTGTTGTTAACCGCTTCGTGTTTGAGCGCACTTGTCATGTGACGAGCTCAATTCTTCTTCGGTGGTGGTAAACATGTTTGATAGCTGCGCTCTTGCGCCCTCTGGTGGTACAAAATATATTGCGCCCAGCACAGACAAAGTTAACGGGGAAAAACTAGCTAACCCGGTTTAAACATTAACGGCAATTAACCGGTTAACTACGTATATCCCTAACGTATAAGAACCATTGTCTTTGTTGGCAGTCTGATGTTGGTTTTATGTAGTTTCACAATCTTTACAAAACCAAGATAATTTGGTGTTTTATTAACAAATTACAATTATAAAGAAAACATTTAGGTGTAACAAACAAGAATTTATTAACACTGCTGATGTCTTTCCAAAACGTGTGTGTGTACTAGGGTTGTCACGATACTAAAATTTCAAACTATTCGATACTGGAAAAAAACCTCGATACTCGATTTCGATACTATTTAAAAACACCCATTTATCGAACAAGTTTATTCAAAAATAACATTCCTCAGTTTATATTGCAAAAATTAAATGTAAGAATTAAGTGTATTAAGTGCTTAAACCTTTCAAGTATCAGCATTTTTTAAAACGTGCATACAAAAACTGGTGAAAGTTAACACTTTAAATCATGAATTGTCTCACTATATAGACACTATTTGCAGAGTGATGTTTTGCTGCTTAAACTCTGTTTAAGGTGCATTTTTGTTATAAGATGTAATGCCATATGTTTTGTTCTGTACTTTTGAACAACTCTGTTGGTCAATAAAGGGAGAAAACGAATTTCTCCACAGTAGGACAAAGGTACATCTACCGGTAATCTTAATAAAAACAGAATGGCGCACGGCAGTGACGTCATTAAAAGCGCCGGTTAGATTAGCCGCAGCTAGTCTGTTCACGCCTAGAAATCCCAGACCCGCTCCAAACGAACAGGGGAATCACGTTAATGATTCCTAACAAAACCTTTCGACATGAAGATGTTTTGGTGCAGATAATGTCTTATTTCGAGGCTGCACCATGGGTGCCCGTCCGCACCCCTTACATGGATATACGCTGACGGCGATTCGCCGATGGATCTAAATACCCCGGGGAATCCAAGTAGCACCAAAGTTGTCAGCGTGAGTAAACAAACGTACTGCATGCTAGAAATTAAGTCCGGGTTGCAATAAACGGGAGTTTCCTTTAAGCACATAAGCGTGAATATACAACTACGTGTCGGACTTGGTATGCTAGTTAAGTTGGGCTGTGAAGCGCCTCCCAAATTCGCTGTTTATGCCTACTAAACATGCGGCGTCTTCTTCTTCTGTTTGTCTGGGAGGCGGAGGCTGCTTTACGGCATCTGGCTGTCGTGCGTGTCGGTGTACTTGAAGAAGGCTGTGTATAATGGTCCATAATATCGATACCACAGGGATGGAATATCTCATTTAGATACCACTTCTAGTATAGATTTATATCTAGGTATTGATTTTTTTGACAACACTAGTGGGAAAGTGGATTTGCTGTAATGTGACGTCATCATAAGGCGCAGGACCCCGATGCTATCAGCACCTGTCTCTCGGTCCCTCGGGCGACACCTCCTTTTGGAGCATTTTTCAGACATGAAGTATGGGTGGATTAAGACTCTGGTAGGAGCGTCAGCCTTCTACATGAGGTCATCTCAGACTTCCTTATTGAGGCTCTGGACATCAGGTATGCTGATGACTCTGGTGTAGTGGCATCAGAATGTGAGGGACAAGGCAGCTTAGTGTTTAGGACATCTTCTCTGTTTTCCTGCCAAACACAACTGGTCCCCTGAGCCAACCAGCAACAGTATAACAATGACTCTTGTGCTGTTTCTGTACCGGCTTCTGTGGTTTGGTGCTTCTAGCCAAAACCTGACAGCTTGTGCTGTTCATTTTTTAAGGGAAATACAACAACTGGGACAAGGTGGACCCAGCAGAACTCTTCAGTAAAGCTCCAACCGAAAAGAAGGAGGCTAATCCTAAACTCAACATGGTGAAGTTTCTCCAGGTAGGTAGATGTGTGTGTGTTTAAAGCTCATGGGTCACTAGTGTCACCTTGTGTTTCTCACCACATTCCTGGTGTTGTCAGTTTGAAGCCAGAGGCTGTGACGTGGTGGTTTTATGGTTGGACTGTGATAAAGAGGGCGAGAACATTTGTTTTGAGGTAATTTTAGTTCCATCTCCTGCAGACATTGATCAGAAAGGTGCACATGGAAAGTAACGATCTGTTGTTTCAGTACCGGCTCGTATTACAGTTAAGAAAACACTTTTGTTTTTGCTCCAAGGTACTGGATGCCATCCAGCCAGTGATGAATAAGGGGAACGTTAAGGATCAGACGGTGTTCCGAGCCAAATTCAGCTCCATAACTGACACGGACATCTGGAACGCTATGAACCATCTTGGAAAACCAAACCAGAATGAAGCCCTGTCAGTGGATGCCCGTCAGGAGCTGGACCTGCGAATAGGCTGTGCCTTTACCCGGTACACACACAGCTGGCTTGTGTAGCTGTGACTCTCCACAGCTGAGTTTGCAGAGAAAAGAACAATCTGGTCGTATTTATGTTTCCCGTCCTTCAGATTCCAGACCAAGTATTTTCAAGGCAAATACGGAAATCTGGATTCCTCGTTGATCTCTTTTGGACCATGCCAGACCCCAACCCTGGGCTTCTGTGTGGAACGTCACGACAAGATTCAGTCGTTCAAACCAGAAACATACTGGGTTCTCCAGGCAAAGGTACGCCACCTCCTCAGCACCAGGAGATGATAAACATGCTCAACAAGACTTCTACTCTCCCATTCTTGTTTATAATGGTTGTCTGAAATCTTAAAGGGGACACAATCTACTTCTTTTAAAACAAACTGTAATTGATCTGTGGTTGATACAAGATGTGTTTACATACTGTAGTTCTTTGCTCTAAATCCATCTCGCATGACGTGATCTCAGCAGCACCTTTATCGTTTTTTACATTTTCAGTTCCTTCCAGAATGAGCCGTTTCAGGGCTCTGTCATTTTTAGGGACCCAGCTTTTGCTGGCCACGCCCACTCATCCCTGATATACTGGAGCCATTTCTCAATATGCGTACTTGTCTGAACTTGTGTACTACTCACATACTTATGAGATGTCATCAACGACGGCCCAAGTACTGTTCCAATTCTAAGTCCGTCTCATGGCATGTTCACCCCACTTCATGTGGGCAGCAGCCTAAGGGGCTCGACACACGGGAGGCGACAAACGACCGCGATCAGCGAAATTCCTCGCTGTCGCTTTTATTACCTGTCACACAGGAGGCGACCCGCGGCAGCGGCCAGCGGCGAAGCCGTCTACGCGTTCTGTTCCATGGCGAAATCGTATTTTCCGTTGTTTTGTTTGGCTGTGTCAGGTTGGAGGGAATTAAGGTTATTTAAGCGGTTCAGAGTTAATAAAGCGGTAGATATGATGTTTCACAAGGTGCTGCTAGAGTTATGTGAAATCTTACTTCTGATTTTACTATAAAACATAATAATAATCAACTTCTCCTCCATGTTTGCTCGGAGATGTACGGAGCATCCTGTCCGCTCATTGGTCAGTAGGGTTGTCACGGTAACCGGTATAGCGGTAAACCCCGGTAAAAAAGTTGACAATAAAAATAACCGTCCAGTTTTTAAAAAACTGAATTATCTCGGTGGGTTTACCGTGGCCGCGGTTTCGGCGTGGTGACCCTTACCAGCCACCGTCGCTTCAGCTGAAGTTCCCGCGGCGCGCACTTTTTAGTTTGCAACCAAAACTTTGAAGCTGAAATAATGGCCGAAGGAGGAGACGGCAGCGCCCAGGACATCCATCAGCCCTCAAAGAAGACTAAATCGGAAGTATGGGCATATTTGGGATTTCTGAAAAATGCTGAGGGACAGTTAATAGAAGACGGCTATCCCGTTTGCAGAACGTGCAGGAATCAAGTGTCTGCAGAAGGCAGCAACACTTCTAATCTAACGGCACATCTGCGTGACCATCACCCACGTCTCTACAGCCAGTGCAAGGTAAGTTAACATTAGCATTTTAGCTTAAATGCATGACGCGAGGACTTTTGGTTGAGGGAGAATGCAACGAGTCACTATATACTGCAGCCGCAGCGCCCTCTGCCAGCATTTAAACCGTGTCACGGACACCCTGTTGCTGGATGAAGCATCTTATTTGTTGATGATGAAGAGAAATATACAATTAGTTCCTTGTCATTGGTTTGTTTACTTATTCAATGCCATTTATACTTGAACATTTGGATTTGATTACATAGTGTAGTAGTTATTTTAGTCAGTTGTTTAAAGTGGCTATTTATTTTAAATACATATTTTTTTAAGGTTGACTTGTACAGCGCTCAAGTCAAGTGTGGACTGGAGTTTTAGATTTTCATTTTGATAATGAAGAAAACAAGTATATGAGAAAACAAGTGGTGTTTCTTTGATTTGTTTACATATTGTTTATGTTTTGAATGTTTGGATTTGTATCATTTAAACCTGCACTGACTACTGTAACACGTTCCAGAAAAAGAAGCTATTTGTTCCTTTACTTGTGAAAAGTTGCACTTTTGCTAAGGCTTTGTGTTATTTTAGGTTTAATAAACATGTTAAACCTTTTCAGAACTATTTCAGTTTGTGTAGAACAGGACTATCAATGCTTTCTGAACATATGCAACACCGTTTAAAAAATACCGCGATAATACCGAAAACCGTGATCATTTTGGTCACAATAACCGTGAGGTTACATTTTCATACCGTGACAACCCTAGTGGTCAGTGAATGAAACCTCCGTTGATTGGTCCTCGTCCGAGCGACGGCGATGAAAAGTTGAAAATATTTCAGCTTTCTGGGATCGCGTCGCTGGGTCGTCCGTGCACGACACGTGCACGAGCGCAAAATTTCACACGCACGTTTTCCGCGTTTCGCTTAATAGGAGGGAGACCCGCGATTATCGCTTTGCCGCGCTTGTCTCATTGAAAAAGTATGGAGGAGAGGCGATGTGGCCTCCCGTGTGTCGAGCCCATAAGCGGGGAAGCCTAGACTTCCTTCTCCTAACCAGTCGAACGGCGTTTCTTGGGGAATCCTAAGGCATTCCCAGGCCACCAAGTTTGGAGTGTCTATGGAGACTGTAGAGACCCACATGGCAGCACGAAATGAGGTTCCCTTTAACTCCGTTTGAGTTTTGTGTTTGTTTTTATCTCTCACGATGAACATGTTGTGTCTCTATCAGGTGTTTAAAGGAAAAGACAACCCACTGACACTGGACTGGGACAGGGTGAGAGTCTTTGACAGAGAAGTGGGACAGATGTTCCTCAACCTCGCCAAGACATCTGGGGAGGCCCGGGTAGGCGTCAGAACCTCAGAACCTCTTGTTTTAAGCTGGAGAGACATTACTAAATCCTCGTGATGGTTCTACTCAAAAACCAACAGCTTTTCTACTTTTTTGACTAAAACGTTATTGTGTTTCATGCAGGCTAAACATAAAATAGTCTCCTACACCTATCTCCTGTATTAGTTTCTGATAGAAGATAGTCTCCTACACCTATCTCCTGCATTAGTTTCTGATAGAAGATAGTCTCCTACACCTATCTCCTGCATTAGTTTCTGATAGAAGATAGTCTCCTACACCTATCTCCTGCATTAGTTTCTGATAGAAGATAGTCTCCTACACCTATCTCCTGCATTAGTTTCTGATAGAAGATAGTCTCCTACACCTATCTCCTGCATTAGTTTCTGATAGAAGATAGTCTCCTACACCTATCTCCTGCATTAGTTTCTGATAGTCTCCTACACCTATCTCCTGCATTAGTTTCTGATAGAAGATAGTCTCCTACACCTATCTCCTGCATTAGTTTCTGATAGTCTCCTACACCTATCTCCTGCATTAGCGTCTGACAGAATATAGTCTCCTACACCTATCTCCTGCATTAGTTTCTGATAGAAGATAGTCTCCTACACCTATCTCCTGCATTAGTTTCTGATAGAAGATAGTCTCCTACACCTATCTCCTGCATTAGTTTCTGATAGAAGATAGTCTCCTACACCTATCTCCTGCATTAGTTTCTGATAGTCTCCTACACCTATCTCCTGCATTAGTTTCTGATAGAAGATAGTCTCCTACACCTATCTCCTGCATTAGTTTCTGATAGAAGATAGTCTCCTACACCTATCTCCTGCATTAGTTTCTGATAGTCTCCTACACCTATCTCCTGCATTAGCGTCTGATAGAAAACAGACGGTGAAACTCTAGGATTAGAAAATCCTGACAGATCTACGTCATCCTGTCACTAACATTCATGGACTCACCCATCTGAACTCATGACGGGGAAGCTATTGTTGGTTTAGTCCAGGAAACAGCGGAGTACGTCTCTGCTAGTAGAAGCTAACCAGTAATAGTTAGTCATCAGTACGGGGTAATCTACATGTTTGACCGAAGCTCCTTTTGCCGATGCTTCCTACTGCAGGTGGAGTCGGTGAGTAAAAAGGAGAAGAGCAAGCAGCGACCTCAGGCGCTGAACACGGTGGAGATGCTGAGAGTGGCCAGCTCTGCTTTGGGTAATTCTTCACACTTTAATGTTTGTTAACGTGCGGACCGTCTGCAAAAATACCAGGGCCTCATTCATCAAGCTATCTTACACACAAAACGGGGTCGGAAAACTGCGTAAGCAACGTTCCACGCAAACTTTGGGATTTATGAAAGGAAACTTAATGGAAAAATGTGGCAACTTTAAGTTGCCTAAGGACCTGGCTTACACACATGCTGGACATGGAGAGCACCTGCAGTGCTGCTGCTGAGAAGATACAGTTATGAAATCCTGCAGCGTTATCACTTGTACCGCTTCGTTTTCACACAGACAAGACCCCCCACATGCACTTGCACGCGCACACGCGTGTGACTTTCACTCGGAAGTCTGGGGATCGAATCCAGATTGGATCATTTTTTATATCCACCACAGATCTCTCTGAAGAACTCCCAGCATTGACGGCTTCAGCAACGCTGTGCCACTCCGTGGATTTTCTCTTATTTGTTTTGCAAAAGCACTTCCTTTCATTTCTCCACCTCACCCACAGGTACCTCAACTTCTGCTCGTGAAATAGCGCTTCCTTGATCTACGGTCGCCATGTCATTGGCGGAGCGCTGCAACAGCCGGCTTATGTATATGCATGAGACCCACAAGGCACTTTGCATTGACTATTTATGGCAGTAAGTGGGCGTGGTGAGGGGGGGATGTGACTAAAATGCAGCTGAGAACCTTTCTAGATAGTTTCTGATTTATGAAGCGGAGATTGCGTGCAGCCGTGCGTCCTCCATGTTTGATAGATCACACACCTGCTTGGGGTAAGTACTTTTTTCTTGCTGAGCTTAAGAACGGTTTTAGTACGGATTCTACGCCATGTTTGATCAATGAGACCCCTGATGAATCCCCCCCCCCCCCCCCCAAAAGAAAAACAACAGCAGAAGGTCTGGACTGTCACATAAAACTTGTCCATATACGTTTATGAAAGTTTTCTTGCAGCAGCACAAGGATGCTCAAAACTTGAGAATTCCAGCTTCCCATTGTTACCCGTACTTCTGCGGGGTCAGGTTTATGGTGGTCAGAGAAACGGTTCCTGGAGTTGGTTTTAATCTGGGCTCAATCGGTTGGACCTGCATCCATGCACGTCTCCCGGTCCGTTTCCATCTGATGACTACATGTTCCCGTCAGAGGGAGCAACTTCTCCCAGTGTGGGAATAACGGAGAGGGAATCAGTGAAGGATTAAACTAGATGCTAGAATGAGGAACAGCTGCAGCCACCCAGAACTGTGCTGGGTCAGAACCCTCTGTCTGCAGAGGAAATGGGTCCAGTTTAAAAAAAACGACATTTTCAGAAAACTTTTAAAAGATTTTTGATGAACTGACTGAAGTGTTTATGAGCGGCGTTAACGTGGGTCGCTCTCATTCAGATGAGTGTCCTGAACCCAAAGTGGGCCCGGCTCTCGGACTTCTGTCACTGGCCCGCAGAACCAAACAGGAGAAGCTAACAGGCAGGTGTTTGCTGATGTTCCAGGTATGGGCCCCCAGCATACTATGCAGACTGCCGAGCGTCTGTATACTCAGGGCTACATTAGCTACCCACGGACTGAGACCACCCACTACCCGGAGAACTTCGACCTGAAGGGAGCTCTGAAGCAGCAGATCAACTGCCCCATGTGGGCAGAAGAGGTCAGGCCTGATGATCATTTCAGCCATTTAGATTTAAAAGTGTGTGCTCATGTACATAGACCTGTGGTTCTGGAACAGGAAGTTGGTAAACAACTCGTGCTGCTGCAGTAAAATGGATGTTTAACACATATTTTAAACCTGTACTTCAGGTAAAAGCTCTGCTTTCAGATGGGATCAACCGACCCAGGAAGGGAACCGACGCAGGAGACCATCCACCCATTACACCCATGCGTGCTGCTTCAGAGGGGGAAGTGGGTGAGTTGGACAGGCCGCCACCTAAAGGGATGATTGTGTGTATTAAGATAGTGTCCACGCCCTGACTGGGCCGGGCCGGGCCTTTAGGTACCAGACTACAGGGAGCTCCGTTCAGACGCCCGAGATCCAAGAGCAGCTCGTCTGTAAAACAGGAGGTTCAGTAGAAAAGTGGATGTGCAGCAATATCAACACGTTCAACACAGCGACTTCAGCTGCTTCTCACACCAGACCCTCTGTCAGGAGCCCTGGCAGCTGTTGTGACGACACGGTCAGAAGATGCGTCAGACACCTTTAAAAACTGACCAGGTGGACAAACATGATCAAAGCTTCATCATTAAATATCTAAATAGCACCTTTAGTGAATAATATACGGCTTTATGCACACTTAGATGCTTAAAATGTGAAACACGCTGTACTAAAGGGATAAAAAGTGAGTTTTTCATGATCTGTCTCCTTTAAAGGAAAAAAGGTGTAACGTGTCCCTGCAGAATATAAATACATCATTTCCTACCAGATATTCATGCAGACAAAACTAATAGTGTGTAAATAAAAGTGACCTAAATGACACAGCAAAAGAAGTCTTTTGCTATGACCTGACTAGGATTTGAATCCCTGGTCCCTGGGCTGACTCAACCACTAGGCCACTGGGAAGGCCTGGCTGGTCTGCAGCAGGAACCACAATACTCCCTAACAGGCTGCTGGTACAGATGAACGGTTTTACATAACTTCACTTCAGTTCAGTTTATTTAAAGGTCACCAAATCACAGCACGAGTGGTCTGAAGGCACTTCACTGAGTAAACGTTCCAACGGTTGTGTCAGCCACGCCCATACTAGGCAAGCATGTAGAGACCGTGGAGAGGAAAACCCTCCTTTAAAGTGACTCTAAGCACTTTTTAGCACGCTACTCCTAAAGTTGCTGTTTTTTCTGCTGGACAACTAGTTTTCTATCATAATGCCAGCTCACTTTCGTAACGTGTAGCTGCTCAGTCCTGGGAGCCAGGTTTGTGTGATTTAAACGAAAAACCAACCCCAGCTGTCTCAGATGAGAACAAACCATTACTCAGATTAAAAATTTAAATTAAAATGTTGGCTAATTTCCTACAAAGAGAAGGAAAAAGATCAGTGAATATCAAGTGTCTCTAATAATCAAAAACCTCTAAGATGAAGAGAGTGACAACACTATAATGCAAGAAGCCTGTGTCCTCATATGTGGATGCAGAGTCTCAGGTGGAGGTGAGTGATTGTGTTGGTAGAAACTTTACCGACTTCACACCAAAGAGCACTCTGCAGCCCTCTGTGCACCAGAAACAGTGCTGAACAGTCCTCTGGAGCAGGTAGGTGTGCTAGGGGCCGCTCTTCAGCTGATTAATGCTGTTAGAGATGGAGCTCCATAGCCTGGCCTGTCAGACCTGCGCTCTGTCTATTCTACCCAGACACTTCCCATCAGGCGCACAGCTAGGGTGGGGGACAGGGGATCTGCCAAGAGCTGATCACACCAGCTGTCTGTGTGCAGCACGAGACCCGGGGACCGCTACAGTTTTATGGGTTTTTTACTGTGAATATCATTGCAATTGTTTTCTTTTTATTCAGTAACAAGCAAGACAGATGGAGCCGAAGCTGATCACCTCTAGCTAATTTTGTCAGTAAAATCCATCGACATACATATACCGGACATCTCCTTTCCATAGACTAATAACACGTTTTTGTACTAAAATGGGAGGTGGCCTCCACCGCCATTTTGACCGTGTCACAGGTTCCGTCAAGCCCAGACAATTCCATAAAAGGGAGGAGAGGAGGAGCTGAGGGTGGGGCTGTAAGGCTGGGATCAACTGACGACACCCGGTCGAACTAGCTACAAGCTAACCTGAAGCTAACCCAAAGCTAACACGGAGGTGGGAGCTAAGCTAACGGAGGTAGCAACCTAGCTACAACCGGAGTTAACTGTGCACAACACCAGAGCTTCTGAGTCAGAGATACGCCGGGCTGACTGCTGGGTACAACCGGGTGGAACACAGAGGTCTCCGAGACCTCCACAAGCCGATAGTGGGACCCCAGCTCCACCAACATGTTATATTTCAACCCATTTTCTAAAGTGCAGCATTATGTTAAATGCACTGGGTTTTACCCTATTACATTTACATTTCATGGTTAAACAGTACATGTTAAAATCTAAGCTCAGCTCGGCAGTGACCTAAAATACATAAATATAATTTTACTTACCGAAAAAATGAAGTGGAGACTCCTTGGACGCTCTATTAGTGCAATTAATGCCCCAGCAAGTCATTTTGTCCAACAATTGCACAAAAATATCCAAACAAGAACACACAAACACAGAGACTCAAAATCCCGGAACAGTTTCCAGGCCAGACCGAGGCTCTACTGAGGCCTTTCCACGGAGCTAGCTCTGTGGTCACGTGGGTCTGATGCTCATTAATTATACAGAATTTTAGGCTTTTAATACACTTAAACAGAAGAGTGAGAAAAACATTCACCCCCCTCAGAGTTGTCATGAGTGTAAACTAGATCATTTAAACCAAAAACATGTTCTGGTACCAGGCTGTAAACATGTTTATTTCTGCTGTGAAATTGGTATTTTTAACATGGGAGTCAATGAGGATTTGCTCGCTTCTGACACCAGCCCCTAGTGGATGAGGGTGGAACTGCAATTTTTGGTACTTCTGGGTTGGGCCCAATTTCAGAGCCGCATTGTGGGGGCCTGGTAAAATCGCGCACACACACACACACACACACACACACACACACAGCGTATGAGGTGGCATGGAAACAAAACCATACTCAAAAGAGCTGACTCTAACCGTTCTGTACAGAGCTGCTTTAGGCTTAGTGCTCGTGGAGAACTAGCTTTACAGTTAACTAAAGTTAACAGCTGAAATAGCAGGAAATAGTACAGTTAAAGAGCAGACTGTAGAAGAAAGCAGTAGAGTGTGAAAAGTGGTCAGTGTATCCTCCAGCAGTCTAAGCCTATAGCAGCATAACTACAGAGATAACTCTGGATAATCTATCCTATTTAGATGGAGGCATGTTGGAGGCAGGGTAAGGGAGAGCCGTCTTTACCGACTGTACACTCCACCTCCCTGTACTCCCCCACTTGTCCAGATCTAGGCTAACATCAGATTTTAACCATAGGCCCTATCAAATAAAAATGTTTTAAGCCTATTCTTAAAAGTAGACACAGTGTCTGCCTCACGGACTAAAGCTGGGAGCTGGTTCCACAGGAGAGGAGCCTGATAACTAAAAGATCTGCCTCACGGACTAAAGCTGTATATTTTTGAACAGCATAAATATATTTGTGACATAGTTTTCAAGCTGTCATCCGCCCACTGTGTGTTTTCATGTTGAACCATGTGATTCCTTCCAGCTCACAGGCCTGTTTAGGCATCGGCGAAAATCCCGGGGGGGACATGTCCCCCTCTGGTATAAAGTGGCCCCCCCCCTAAAACTGGAGCATATAAACAGACGTAACAGTGACATAGTGTTGTCCAATGGAAGCAGAGCACAACCTGAAGCCTGGTCTGGACAGCAGCTGAGCTGTTCCCTCTCATCATCTAGGTCCGGCTCTGTGGGCCTGTAACAGATCCTCTCTGCTGTTCTGTCCTGCAGGAAGTGACGGCTGGCGCCTGTACGAGTACATCACACGTCATTTCATCGCTACCGTCAGCCAAGACTGCAAGTTCCTACAGACCACAGTAGACTTCGTTATTGGCACCGAGGCCTTCTCTTGCACTGGGAAAACCCTCATTTCACCAGGTGAGACCACCAGACCGCTTCAGAATCGCTACAGCCAGCCACTCGCCAAACCAGCGCAGACATCACAAATCAAACTCCACGAAAAGTCAGCTTCATGTGAAGATCTGCTGAACAAATTAAAATGTGAAACCCCGCCGAGACCAGAGCAGCAAGACCTTGTCAGTGTGAAGTTAAAGGAGGAAATCACACAAGATGGAGAAGGCGTCATCCCAGCAGCAAAGTTACTGGTTCAAGTCCCAGCTGCAACCTTTGTGAGGGATGCTAGCGTGTCCTCCTTCACGCATGCATGGGTCTACTCCTACATCAGGTCGTGGGGGCAGCAGCCTCGGCAGGGTGGCCCACACTTCCCTCTCCCCAGCCACTTGGGCCAGCTCCTCCGGGGCAATCCAGAGGCGTTCCTGGCCAGCCGAGACACGTAGTCCCAATTCCTGATCTGAGTCATCATTCCTTCTCGTCTGGCTTCACGGTGTGTCCTGCCTAGAACCTTTGTGGGTTGAACTAAAGCTGCTTTAGCAAATCTCCAGAACAAGCTAGATGGTCCAATAGATGCTGTTGGTCCATAATGTGTTGTTATGGAGGTTTTTAGACAAACATGAGAGAATCCCTTCACTGGTTTATTTCTTTTATCTCCACAATTTATTTACTTATAACATCCGACTCCGGATAAGCGGATGGATGGATGGAGTTTTCCCTAAATGTTCCCCTTAGATCCCTGAGCACCATAGTGCCGGATCCTATCGGTGATTGTTGCCATCTCAGGCATGTTCCTTGTTCCAGCTCCTTTAGAGCTCACCGCTGCACCAGCACAGGGCCACTAGAAGGGAAGAACTATTCTTTCTGTGCCTGCGCCTCTCTCCGGAGCCTAGATTTCCATCTCAGTTGTCATGGTTACCTGTGACATGCGGTCGATTAGCAATCGTGAGCTCGCACGGACTTCTGGCGTGTTTAATATTTTGCTCGTCCCTCGTGAGGGTATCGCACTGTTGAAGCGGCGCTGCGACCCAAAAAGTATCAGGACCGCTCACGGTGCATGTGCAATCCTGCATCAACACCGCTCGCTCGCTATTTCCCTAATAACACGTTGTTCGTTTTTGTTTCTACACGTTTTTTTACTCACAAAGATCGTCAAGAAAGCGTGTTTGTCGTGTTCATGTCAAACTAAACTGATCACTAAACACAGATTTACTTTCTTTATTTCGTTTTCCTCATCCAACCCCATAAATCCCTGTGTGTCCTCCTGCAGCGCTCCCGAAGGACAACAGGCAAGACAAGACAAAAAAGTCTGACGTGTTGAGTAAAAACTGCTATTTTTAGCACATTTTTAGGGCCGACGTGTTGCTACCAGACGTACAGTGTGAGCGCCTGGCTCGTGAGATCTGCCCTGCGAGGAAGTCGTACAGTTTGAGCTGAAGCCGAGTGCTACAAGTGAAAAAGTCGCACAGTGTCCGCCCGGCTTTACTCTGCTCACCTCACATGGACTCACGCTGGCTAAATGAACAAAGACAGTTAAAAAAAACCAGAGTAGTCCTTAGTTTTTAAACAGTTAATGCTGGCAAGTGAAGCTAAAACAGAAAACTAGTTAGAGCTGAGGTACAAACCTGCATGTCAGCCCAGGACTCTAACCCGCACCACCAAGCCTGCTAGCTGACAGCCGTCACCGTGGGGGGTGGGCTTCAGAACCCAGAGCAGATTCAGGAGGACCAGGTCCTGGTGTCAGGAGCCAGAAGATGGAGTCACACACACATTTACATAGGTCTGTTTTGATGAATTTCAAAATAAACCAAACAGGAAATGCATGAATGCAGCCAGAAACTGGTCTGGGGCTGTTTTTCATGAGGAAACAAGAATATCACACGCTAGTGGGTTTTCCATGACATGGCCTCTTTACATGTCTGAGTCGTGTAGCTTAAAGCTTTAGTGGTTTATTCACATTATCGCTGACGTTTAAACCCCAAAGGCTTAAAGACGGATAAAGGACTAAAGCGTTTGTGTGTGTTGCCCACAGGTTACACAGTAGTGATGCCATGGCAGGGCATCGCCCTGGAAGAGGCCATGCCAGCCTGTGAGCGTGGAGATATTTTCACTGTAGATGAGATGAAGCTGGTGGAGAGGCAGACCAGCCCACCCGACTACCTGACGGAGGCTGAACTCATCACGCTAATGGAGAAGCACGGCATTGGTTTGTGAACCGGCCTCTACACACAGCCACCGCACCTCCAACAGGAAATAGCTTCTGATAAGAAAGTGTCTCCAGTTTACCTTAAAGGTGGGAAGTTGGACGCATTACTTGAGCGTTGGCAGAGTCGGGGTTATCTGTTGGATGGGACGTTGTAAACTTCCACATCAAACCAGCACCTCTGTTGCAGGAGCTGGTATTCATACCGGTTACACATCCATAGACGGACAGGGTTCTTACGACAACCATAGCTGTAGACCAGCGCTGGGCAATACATCACAAACGTATCGTTACTGAAATTTCTGACTCTTATGGTGATTATTTTTCCCACGTCAATAAATCTGATAATAAAAATGAAGAGGTGTGTGTAGGTGGGCAGCGTTCATGTCCCTTTAGGAAGCTGCACCACCATGAGCAACACGTGACTGACGTAACACACGACAGCCCCATCTAGTGGACAACCGTTGTATCTGCACACACCTGTAGTTGTCGCCCACTTGTCGTTATCCAGGTGAAATCCTCGATATAAGGTGACACCGGTTTTAGGCCGCATCGGCCAGCCCTGGTGAAGGCTAACTTAACGCTTTAGTCAAACTGCTTGGAAATTCAAAATCACGTCCAACCTCCAGTCGGACTCCTTGCAGCTGAATCGAGCCATCTCCAACAAGAACGGTGTTTTTACATCCAGAAGTCCAATAAAACAGCTGGTCTACAAGGGTAAGCCCTCTTGGCCAAAGGTGACAGCCACGCGTAAGGTGCTAGAAGCATTTTACCCATGAGCTTCCTTCCAGCGGGGACCTGGCCGTTGGAAAAGACCATCCAACCGAACGGCATCCGAGCCACGCTGAGTAGAGCTGCTGGAAGCCCGGTAGGGTGTTGGTGCTGGCTGAGGCCACTCGTGTCAAACACGTGTCATCACCAGACAGGAAACGGATAAAAGAGAATACTTCCGTAGCTGAGACATTCATTTATCCAACAGAACCCAGTTACACAGCAGAAAGTCTTACAGGTGACACCAGACGTCAGAAGCATGCCTGAATAGGAAAGTTCAACACCACCTAGACCTAGAGGAGGAGATGAGTCTAGGGTGAGAGGGTGACGATGGCTGGTGGCTGCAGCTCAACACACAACTCATCAAATCAGGGAGCTCGGCATAACTCTGCAACTTGTAACACATCCCTGTACACCTCCAGGCACCGACGCCAGCATCCCCGTCCACATCAACAACATCTGTCAGAGGAACTATGTGACCGTGGAGAGCGGACGCAAGCTGAAGCCGACCAATCTGGGCGTAGTCCTGGTGCACGGCTACTACAAAACAGGTCCCTTCACTCAGGCAGCCAGAATACCCTGGCCCGGCGCTGGAGGAAGTTAATGTGTGTGTGTGTGTGTGTGTAGACGCAGAGCTGGTGCTGCCCACCATACGCAGTGCTGTAGAGAAGCAGCTGAACCTCATCGCTGTGGGCAAGGCCAACTACCAGCAGGTTCTGCAGCACACGCTCGATATCTTCAAGAGGAAGTTTCACTACTTTGTGGATTCCATCACCAGTAAGTTCAGCCCAGGATCCGTGTTTCTAAGGGTCCGTCTGCAGGAGTGTTCATGGGAGCAGTTCAAACCACCCTGTCCAGCATGTTTTAGCTGTTTCTCTGCTCCCAACACACCCGGGTACACTCAGCCGGTGATTCAACCATTCGGTCGCGTGTGTTAGAGCAGCAGTAGAGCACCATGGACCGTACGTCATGTTCTGTGTCCCACTATCATCCCCAGCCCTCTCTAGACTTCCCCCAGGTGTCCTCCTAATCACTCCCTGATAATTCCTTGTCAGTCTTATTTCAGTCCTCCTCATCTATCTAGTTATTAGTTGTTTATTTTTGCCCTCAGTCTTTAGGTTTAGTTTTATCCGTGTTTTTAGGTAACGGTTTATCTGCCATCCTGCTTGCTTCTTTCCCCTCATTTAGGTTATTGTACGCACCTGCCTTCCCTCCAGATCTCACTCACACCTGTCACCTGTTCCCCTGATCACCTCCCTCTGTGTTTAAAGAGCAAGTAACGTCTAAATTAACTTGTTTTTGCTGATGAACTGTATAAATGAGTGTCTAATAGTGTTTTATATGTGTGTATTCATTGTTTTAGCATTTTGGTGCATTTTCTTTAAAAATGAAAAATGCTGCCTAAATACCACAGTATAGCGCCAACTCCAGCTTAAAACATAGAATTTGACTCATTTTGAATAAATTTTAGCCAATGGCTAAAGAGTAAGATACTACGTAAACCAGTAGAGTACTACGTAGCAGCTCTGTGTCAAAGTTATAAAAGCAACGAGCGTCTCGGCCACGCCTTGTGGCGAGTTGGGAGTTGGATTTGCAATCGAGTGTAGGAGGTTAGCCGTAGTTCAGCATTAGCATATAGCATTAGCATATCCTAGTCTTTAGCGTAGCCTTTAGTGTTATACATACTTATTTAGTGTTAGCTTGGCTGTTGGATATTGTAGTTTAGTTAGTGTTTGGCTGTTAGTGTAATTAGGAAAGTAGTTCGGGTTTAGTGCTCCATATCGTGTTAGCATGGTGAGAAGGTGTAGTGTAGTATGGTTGCGGTGGCTCTGTGGGGTTGCATTCCTTTTCGCTTGACTTAGAAATTAGGCGCCAGTGGTTGCGCGCAATCGGTGTCTGGAAAACATTAGGGATGCACCGATCAGGTTTTTTGTTGCCGATCACCGATACCGATATCAAAGAATGCTGATCACCGATACCGATCACGTGGATTGGCCAGAAATTTTCTTTTTTTTTTTTTTTACCGTGTCCTGTCTGGCTGTGAAGCAAGCAGAACTGATGTCTGAATGCTGGTGACAAGCCTTACAGATTTACTCTCAGGTGGAGCATCAAAGCGTCTGCTTTTAATGTCACGCCTGATACTTAAAACTTTATTGTTATTGTTGTTGAATGCTTTGTAATTCCGACCAGACACGGAGACAGAGGTGAAAGAGAAAGGAAAAGAAAAGGTGTGGTGAGGGGGGGGGGGGAGGGGGGGTTCCACAAAAATAAACAATGAACAAGAGTCTGCTTCTAGACCTGCAGAAAAAGACAAAAAAGGGACACAACAACAATACAACAAGATCTAGCTATCACTGCGTCAACTTGATGAAGAAATATATAATCAACATTGCTTAACTGAAGAATCACGATAATAAATCACAGTGCATGTAGTGCCCACCATAGTCTTAAGACAAGTGTTGAACGTGCCCAAGCCCATACTTATGAGAGCACCATGTGAGCACCTGTGTGTGTACACGCGCTTGTTTATGTAAGGTTTCTCTATAGGAGCGTCCTACAGAGAGTGTGAGGGACCACAGGTCCGCCCCCCAAAGATGCGCAGGAGACGGGGGGAGCTCCAAGTCCCAGAGATCCAGGCGTTGCCCCAGAACACAGGAACCCCAAGGAGACTGCCACCAGAAAAGCCCCCGTCCCCCTCGAGAGGCACAGAGGATCGCCCCGGGGGGCACAACCAGCAGCCAGCAGAGTCCCGGGAGACATCAGCGGCAAGCCCACAGGCCCGCCCGCAGCCTCCCACCCCCTAGCCGGCCGAGCCCGGGACCCAGGGGCAACCACCCCCGCCGGGGACCCAGCAGAGCCCAGGGACCCAGACCCCACCAGGCAGCCACCGGGATTGATCAGGCAGATGCCAAAAATCTTAAACCCCGTGACCTGGTTACCACGAACACTCAGGCAGACCATGGCACAAGCCCCCACGCCAGGTGTGGCAGGAGGAGGGGAGACAAAGATCTATATCATCAAGAGAGGTTCCAGGAGAGGGGAGGAGTCAAAGGCCCCACCTGACATATACAGTCATACACAAACACAGTCACACACTCCCTCCCTCATGCTCACACATGCACATACAACCCAAGACTTACAAAAATGCACGCCGGACACCCACTCATGCTCCCCATACACACCCTATTCACTCTGGTCCCGGTACTGCTGCACTGGGTACAACCATCACCGGTAACCAGAGTTTGACCCTTTCTGCTGGGGTGTTGATGAGCAGGCTCCCCCGCCCAACGCTGAGCACAGCAACCCACCACCCCAGACCCCAACCAGATGGCCAGATCTCCCTCCTAGCCTCCAGCCCCAGGAAGCCAAGCAACAACAGAGGTGGCTAAGACCCCTAGTCTCCCTCCGCCTGCTCCAATATAGTGTTGTGTGATCATGAGGTGTATTCCATGGCTGTGGTGAGCGGGCAGTGCGGGCATCATCCAGCATATGCCCGCTGATGCCACCGCACCACCCCACTTACACCCTCAGTCATCAGTGTCTAAGTGCGTTTTAAAATTGGAAGTGGGCACCGGCACCCGGGAGGAGGCTGAAATATCCCCCTGCGAAATGCTGTTGAATGTGCTCACTCCCAAGTCCCTAAGTGTGTGTTTGTGTGGAATGTCGTCAGTGGAAGTGTATAAGGTGCAAATAAAATTGGGGGGCAGGTTGCCACAGGAATGCGGAAATGGAGTCCATACCCGCACTCCCTGACTTGCCCACCCCCCAAGGTCCTATGTGCATGTTTGTGTGATGATGTGAGGGAGCAGGAGGAGAGAAATATGCGGGGATGGGGAGGAATGGCTGGTTGGGCTTAGCCCTCCAGGGAGCCAGCTCCCCTACTGGCCCCAATAGGCACCTCTGTTGTCAAACTGGCCCCCAGGGCATGGAGACCCTAGCCCCATCCCAGCAGAATATCTATGCCCACCCCTGCATTTGCACAACTTCCAGAATATATAAGACATGGGACATCCAGGTAAGGTTTTGGTCCTCCACTTGCGTCCACACCACCTCGTTTTAAAAAAAAAAACTCTGTCTACACGTACCCGGATAAATACGTTGTTAAGGACATACCAGACCTGTAGGCGGCAGTACTTCCCCCGTTCTTAACCTCGTCCGTCGTCTGTGGTCTGAACACATTTAATACGCCTGGTTGCTCCTGTCCGCGCGCTGCAGATGGAAGGATTTCCATGTTTCACAGCTGCAGGGGCAACACGGGTCATTCAAAGCAATACTTTTAGAATTATATGTAACCCTAACCGAATCCAGCTATTGCAACGTTGGTCCACAGTCATCCCACAGCAGCTGCATCTCAACAGGAGAGCAGGTGGTTATGACATGACATCCTTAATGAAAGACTGAAAGTATGGCCCCTGCTGTGCTGCAGAGACTAGATCAGATCTCTGAATCTGAAGGAAACTTCTGATGTCTTGCAGGAAAACTGGATTTTGGATTTTATGGAACATCTCATAAATCAGCAGGTGCTTCAAAGTTGTTCTGATCCAATGTTTACTGACGATCCATACATGTGGGGGGCATCAGACGTGCCTGGCATTGAGACAGGCCTGCAGGAGGGGCAGCTTTGAGCACTGATGTTCTCTGCACAGGTCATGCATTAGTTGCATATAATTGCCCAAAAGGTCCCCTAATGTCACAACTTGACAGCTGACCATTCTTTGTGAAGTGATCACGCTCCTCTGCCGGTCTCCAGAGCGACGTACCTGCTTCAGCTGCTGGAAGGTCTCTGTGATAATGGCCTCCCTACGGCCCCTGGCTGTCCACCACACTGCTCTACTGGAATTTAACAGATGCAGTCTCCGGGCTGCAGATCTGGTCCCTCTGAGGATCTGAAAGAGTGACTCCAGAAACATCTCACAGCGTTACGGTGATGCTCTGGATGAAAGCAGACTCGTGCATCTAGACGTGTGTGTGTGTGGACTTAGAACGGTGATCAGGGACAGCTGTACGGAGCTGATGAAAGAGCTCCACCTCACCCGGGCTGTCCCTGGGACATCTTCCAGCACACAGGTCGTTAACGTTGTTTTTCCTGGAGGTGAGGCTGCGGTCAGCAGGAGCCCGGAGTGAAGATCCCAAACAGCAAGAACAAGCTGGAGTCATAGCGATGTCTTTAAAAACCTGCAGAAATGTGCTCTATAGGTGGGGCAGCTTTTATTTAGCCACAGCGGTGTGACACGATCAGTTAGTGCAGACTTTTATTTTGACAAGCGTAGCAGGGAAGATGACGCTTTCTGATGCCCGTTCTGATTGGTCAGTGAGACGCTACGGCAACGCCCCGCGGCTGGCTGGACCCGGCTCTGTAGGAAACAGGTGTTGGAGACCATGTTCATGTTCAGCCTGCGTGTTAGAGTCACCTGTTGGGATCAGAGATAAAAATGTAAAAACCACATTTTAAATAGACGATGTCCGTAGGACACATGTTGATGCCAAGAGTTTGTTTTTGACTGCCAGCAAGAGTTACTTTAGACATGGAGGACCGCTCTGTATGTGAACATAAATGCTCACTTAATCACTGGTTGTGATGCCAGAACGCAGAAACAGCAGGACGGACTTCCTGTTCCTCAGCTTCAGTTGAACTCTGGCCCGGTGTGCGTTTGTGGTGTGTTACAGGCATGGACGAGCTGATGGAGGTCTCCTTCTCCCCCATCGCTGCCTCAGGAAAGCCCCTTTCTCGCTGTGGCAAGTGTCATCGCTTCATGAAGTACATCCAGGTGAGCAGTCAGAGTGGAGCTGCGTGCATGTGTCATGGTTTGGGACGCAGCTCAGTTTTGGGGTCATGCAGCATGGCAGGAATACAACCTCAGGTGTGTCACCGCTAATTCTGCCACGTTTCTGAAGGTGCTCTGGTGAACAAATGAGACGGGGGAAGTTTAAGCTGGTGAGACTTACCCTAGTATGATGTGGGAGACTGGGAGGCGGAGCTCCAAACATCTCACTGCTGTTACTTCAGCAAAGGAGGCATTTACATTTAGGTCAGCTCTGCCCGGGCCAGGTGGGCATGGATGGTTTATACGGCCTTCTCAAGAATGCGCCGTGAGCGCAGACACGGCTGAAGGGATCTGGAGACGTCCGTGGTGTCCTTCCTTACGTGAGCAGTGGTGCACATGGAGACTCTGACATGAGGCACACAGCTTCCTGCCCTCACTGAGCAGCGGCTCTGCTGTAAGCTCCTCTCACAGCAGATGGTCAGGCCTCACCGCCGGTCCGGGCTGCAGTCAGAAGAGATGTTTACCCCTCTGCATCCAGACTGATGATGAGTCACACGTGTGGGAAGCGACTGCTGGCTGATTCTACCCGCACCAATCAGAAGCTCTGACTTGTACGTAGGCGTGAGGTTAACATTTAGGGTCTACCGGACTCAAGATGGCCACCACCACTAAACAACTTCAGCAAACACACAAACGGCTCTAATGAGTACTCAGCTAAAGTTGGAACTGAGAGTCTTTAGTGACTCACTCTGGGAGATGGCCAATCACAGCAGACGTGGCGTGATGATGTCACGCTACACTTTCAACATTGGACCAGAATGTCTGTGATGGAGAATGTGTCCACGTTAGGTGGTCTTGGTTTGGGGTGATGTCATGTTAGTTTGTCCCGCCAGTGCTAGGACTAAAGGCCTCATGCTGATGGAGCTGAAGGTCTCCTAATGTCTTCTGGACAATATGAGGCTAGACTGATGAGCTGTGGCCTTCAGCAGACTCGCCCCGTTATTGTGTTGATGAGCAAACGCTCGTGTGCGTTCATGGATGAATCATCAGCTCACGGATGTTTGTACAGACCTTGTTGAATATGTACGATGTCTACCGGTGGAGCCGAGGTAAACGTGTCCACGTGTACGTACCTGTGTGTGTGTGTGTGTGTGTGTGTGTGTGTAGGCCAAGCCCTGCAGGCTCCACTGCTCCCACTGTGATGAGACCTACAGCCTTCCACAGAATGGAGCCATAAAGCTGTACAAGGAGCTGCGCTGCCCCCTGGATGACTTTGAGCTGGTTCTGTGGACCTCAGGGGCCCGGGGCAAGAGCTACCCTCTGTGTCCCTACTGCTTCAGCCACCCGCCTTTCAGAGACATGAAGAAAGGTTGTGTTTCTACAGCACCTCCTGTTGCGTACCTCATGTACATCGCTGTGTATCCAGTGTAGAGTAGCGTGTGATAACAGATGTTCTAACATGAAATAAGTACATACATGGAATGCAAGAGAGACTGTCCTGGTGAGCCGGCTAGCTTTGTGTGTAAGTCAGCATCAGGACCACAGCTGGATACACAAACCACCTCACCTTCCAGAGTCGTGTTCTGTCTGAGTAACTCACCTGTGTGTGTGTGTGTGTGTGTGTGTGTGTGTGTGTGTGTGTGTGTGTGTGTCTCAGGTATGGGATGCAATGAGTGCACACACCCATCGTGTCAGCACTCCCTGAACTCTTTAGGAATTGGACAGTGTGTGGAGTGTGAAAACGGGGTTCTGGTTCTGGATCCCACCTCTGGACCCAAGTGGAGGATGGCTTGTAACAAGTGCAACGTGGTGGTGCACTTTTTTGAACATGCGCACAAAGTTCAGGTAAGAAAATGTGACTCATCCCTCACAGCTGGTGTGTGAATGCTGTGGTAGTTACAGGTGACAGGTGTGTGAATGCTGTGGTAGTTACAAGTGACAGGTGTGTGAATGCTGTGGTAGTTAGAGGTGACAGGTGTGTGAATGCTGTGGTAGTTAGAGGTGACAGGTGTGTGAATGCTGTGGTAGTTAGAGGTGACAGGTGTGTGAATGCTGTGGTAGTTACAGGTGACAGGTGTGTGAATGATGTGGTCGTTACAGGTGACAGGTGTGTGAATGCTGTGGTCGTTACAGGTGACAGGTGTGTGAATGCTGTGGTCGTTACAGGTGACAGGTGTGTGAATGCTGTGGTCGTTACAGGTGACAGGTGTGTGAATGCTGTGGTCGTTACAGGTGACAGGTGTGTGAATGCTGTTGTAGTTACAGGTGACAGGTGTGTGAATGCTGTGGTAGTTACAGGTGACCGGTGTGTGAATGCTGTGGTTGTTACAGGTGACAGGTGTGTGAATGTTGTGGTAGTTACAGGTGACAGGTGTGTGAATGCTGTGGTAGTTACAGGTGACCGGTGTGTGAATGCTGTGGTAGTTACAGGTGACCGGTGTGTGAATGCTTTGGTAGTTACAGGTGACAGGTGTGTGAATGCTGTGGTAGTTACAGGTGACCGGTGTGTGAATGCTGTGGTAGTTACAGGTGACCGGTGTGTGAATGCTGTGGTAGTTACAGGTGACCGGTGTGTGAATGCTGTGGTAGTTACAGGTGACCGGTGTGTGAATGCTGTGGTAGTTACAGGTGACAGGTGTGTGAATGCTGTGGTTGTTACAGGTGACAGGTGTGTGAATGCTGTGGTTGTTACAGGTGACAGGTGTGTGAATGCTGTGGTAGTTACAGGTGACAGGTGTGTGAATGCTGTGGTAGTTACAGGTGACCGGTGTGTGAATGCTGTGGTAGTTACAGGTGACAGGTGTGTGAATGCTGTGGTAGTTACAGGTGACCGGTGTGTGAATGCTGTGGTAGTTACAGGTGACAGGTGTGTGAATGTTGTGGTAGTTACAGGTGACAGGTGTGTGAATGCTGTGGTTGTTACAGGTGACAGGTGTGTGAATGCTGTGGTTGTTACAGGTGACAGGTGTGTGAATGCTGTGGTAGTTACAGGTGACAGGTGTGTGAATGCTGTGGTAGTTACAGGTGACAGGTGTGTGAATGCTGTGGTAGTTACAGGTGACAGGTGTGTGAATGCTGTGGTAGTTACAGGTGATAGGTGTGTGAATGCTGTGGTAGTTACAGGTGACAGGTGTGTGAATGCTGTGGTCGTTACAGGTGACAGGTGTGTGAATGCTGTTGTAGTTACAGGTGACAGGTGTGTGAATGCTGTGGTCGTTACAGGTGACAGGTGTGTGAATGCTGTTGTAGTTACAGGTGACAGGTGTGTGAATGCTGTGGTAGTTACAGGTGACAGGTGTGTGAATGCTGTGGTAGTTACAGGTGACAGGTGTGTGAATGCTGTGGTAGTTACAGGTGACCGGTGTGTGAATGCTGTGGTAGTTACAGGTGACAGGTGTGTGAATGCTGTGGTAGTTACAGGTGACAGGTGTGTGAATGCTGTGGTAGTTACAGGTGACAGGTGTGTGAATGCTGTGGTAGTTACAGGTGACCGGTGTGTGAATGCTGTGGTAGTTACAGGTGACAGGTGTGTGAATGCTGTGGTAGTTACAGCTGACAGGTGTGTGAATGCTGTGGTAGTTACAGCTGACAGGTGTGTGAATGCTGTGGTAGTTACAGGTGACAGGTGTGTGAATGCTGTGGTAGTTACAGGTGACAGGTGTGTGAATGCTGTGGTAGTTACAGGTGACCGGTGTGTGAATGCTGTGGTAGTTACAGGTGACAGGTGTGTGAATGCTGTGGTAGTTACAGGTGACAGGTGTGTGAATGCTGTGGTAGTTACAGGTGACCGGTGTGTGAATGCTGTGGTAGTTACAGGTGACAGGTGTGTGAATGCTGTGGTAGTTACAGGTGACAGGTGTGTGAATGCTGTGGTAGTTACAGGTGACAGGTGTGTGAATGCTGTGGTAGTTACAGGTGACCGGTGTGTGAATGCTGTGGTAGTTACAGGTGACAGGTGTGTGAATGCTGTGGTAGTTACAGCTGACAGGTGTGTGAATGCTGTGGTAGTTACAGGTGACCGGTGTGTGAATGCTGTGGTAGTTACAGGTGACAGGTGTGTGAATGCTGTGGTAGTTACAGGTGACAGGTGTGTGAATGCTGTGGTAGTTACAGGTGACAGGTGTGTGAATGCTGTGGTAGTTACAGGTGACAGGTGTGTGAATGCTGTGGTAGTTACAGGTGACCGGTGTGTGAATGCTGTGGTAGTTACAGGTGACAGGTGTGTGAATGCTGTGGTAGTTACAGGTGACAGGTGTGTGAATGCTGTGGTAGTTACAGGTGACCGGTGTGTGAATGCTGTGGTAGTTACAGGTGACAGGTGTGTGAATGCTGTGGTAGTTACAGGTGACAGGTGTGTGAATGCTGTGGTAGTTACAGGTGACAGGTGTGTGAATGCTGTGGTAGTTACAGGTGACAGGTGTGTGAATGCTGTGGTAGTTACAGGTGACAGGTGTGTGACACCATAACTGTTATTTATGGTTTCCATTCACGACATCGCTGAAAGCGTTTCCAAGCTTGATGACGATTCTGTTTCCTGTGACTTTACGCTCTGGAGAGCCTACCTCCTACTGTTGTTTATGGGAGAAGGATGAAAGGAGGTGTAAAGAACAGGTCCAGCGATGCTGCTGACCAGGTGCTCTCATGGCTATGAGCTGCTCGGCCAGAACCAGACTCAACAGGTCCGGCTGGTTTGGATGGTAGTTCAGGCTGAGTTAGGGGTGTACCCACACAGCGGTATGTTTAGCATTCATCTGTCCTCTGTTAGGTTGCTACGGAGAGCTGTGATGCATGCGAGGCCTCTCTGGTGGCGGTGGACTTCAACAAGACCCGGACGCCGCTCCCGGCTGGGGAGACGCAGCACGCCGGCTGTGTCTTCTGCGATCCCGTCTTCCAGGATCTGGTGGAGCTTAAACACGCCACCATGAGGCATGCAATGCACCGAGGCGGAGGTGCGCGGCGCGGAGGGCGAGGGCGAGGCAGGGGTCGCCGTGGCAACCCAAAGAAACCCAAAGATAAAATGGCTGCGTTGGCAGCCTACTTTGTATAGTTTTGATGTGGTGTGGATGCCCTGCAGCGGGAGCTGTGACGGACTTGTTTCATTAAAGCTGAACTAGCCTCTAGTGTGTGTTTATGGCTCTCTGCTCTGGCTCCGCCCCACAGCTACCTCCACCTCCACTCGTAAGTTCCTAGCTGGACCCACGCAACATTCATTTCTAGTTTAATTTTGAACCATTTTTGGTTACTAAGGTCCTGCTAAACCCAGATCTCAGACATGGTTCTGTATGTGAAACGCCTGTGGTACCGGGCCAGAACATGTGCCCGTAACTGCAGACGTGCTGTCGGATAACTGGAATGAGTCCAGCAGGGGGCAGTATGGACATCCAGAGCTGTTGAACATGTAGGAGCCAAACCAAAGGAGTTGTGATGTTTGCCTTTACTCTCGCTCTAAGGAGACCAGCAGCTCTGCTGCTGAGAAGTGTGCTCCAGAAGCAGTCCACTCACTTGGTTTTTATTAAAAATAGGTGGAAGTTACCGTGTTTCCACCTACAAATACTTCTGTAGCTAGTGTTTGTCTTTGTTCTGCTGACAAAGCAGTCATTCACTGAGCAGGTGTTAAATCCAGCGTGTTTATACGGTGCCAGATCATGACAAGTGTTGCCTCGAAGCACGGCGCAGAATAAAACATTCCAGTTGAGTTCAGTTGGTTATCTCAACTATTTCTAAAGCTCCACAGGGGTGACAGCAGAGCACGGTACAGAGAAACAACAGGACAAGACTTACAACTAGAGTCAAAACAACATAGGTGGCAATAGAAACATCAACGGCCAGAGGTGAAAGCCAGGTCCAAGAAAAGTGTCCTTAGCCCACCATTAAAAATGGCCACCAAAGCCGTACAGGGTAGTGCAGCTCATCCCAAAGGTTTGGGCCGGCCACAGAGAACGGCCTCTCTCTTGTCTTTCAGCGGGTCCTAGGGGCAGAGCAGAAGATGGTTCTCTGAGTGGAGTGCTTGTACCGGTCTGTAAGTACGACAGAGACAACCCATGCAATAATAAAAAAACCACAAAAAGGATTTAAAAACAAATTCTAAAATCAACAGGCAGCCAGTGCAGAGGCCGGGGAACCACTACAAACTCAGTCGCTGCATTTTGCTCCAGTTGTGGCCTCGCTGGCGTTGCCTGCTCACCCCAAACAGGATGCCATTGCAGTAATCAACGCGAGCTGTAATAAAGGCATGAACTACTGTCTCTGAGTGGTGGTGTATCAAGAATGGTTTCATTTACACGGGCATCAAACCCTAGGGCATTCTCAAGATTGACTCCAAGGTTCACAGCGACTGTTTTTACCCTCACAGTTGTGAGGCGGCGTCAACACGGCCATTTCATCACGCCAGTTAGTAAAAGGAGATGGGACCTACGTCTGCCTGGCCTGAAAGAAGAAAAAGGTGAAAACATCCGAACCAAAGTCATCTCTATCTGTCAGAGAGTGGAGCTAAGCTTCAAAGACAGGTACCCAGATGTCATCGACAGCGTTCATCGTGTGGATCGAGCCGCCGAAGACGGACGTCCTCAAGGAATCATCATCCAGTTCTCCGTGAGACACCAACGTGATGCGATATGGAAGGCCGCAAAAAAATCATCTTTCCTAAAGACGGAGAATCTACATTTTCAGGAAGATCTTTCGCCTGAGGATCACCTTCAAAGAAGCCTGATATGGCCCGTGGTCGAGAAAGGACGAAAAGAAGGGAACGTGGCCTTCTTTGCGGGAGCCAGGGCCTTCTTCATCGATGGAGGAGGGAAAAAGACAGAACTCTATGCCCCAAACATCTGTACCACCGAGTAAAAAGCTGTGGGGAAGAATACACAAAACAACGGTTAGTGTTAAAGTGAAAATACACGGTTCATTTAAATGCAGCTCAAATACTTTATATGTTGTTGTTATGGGAGCCTGTCACTTAGCTCTGTTTTTGTTTATATCTACATAAGCGTTCTATCGTTATAAGACAACATTTCAGGGTTAAAACTAGTTTCGTTTAACGCACGAGGATTAAAAGATAACACTAAAAGAAAGGCAGTCTTTTATATGTTAACCAGCTTAAAGCGGATTTATGTTTAACTCAAGAAACTCATTCTGTAACTAGTGATGCAAACTTCAGGAGAACACAGTGGGGAAATGAGATGTGGCACAAATCAGTCAGCAGGTGTCGCCATTTTAAAACATAACCAGTGGGAAGGTTCACTACCCTACCTCAGACACAAATGGACATTCACTTACAAAAAACCGAACCAGGGAAAAATATTAAAGAAACAATAGAAAAGTACTGGATTATTACATACTCTCCAAACTCACTCAGAGATAACTGGGAATTATTAAAATATGAATTAAGGAAAATATCAATGAAAGCAGGCACAGAGCATGCAGGAGTCCTGAAAGAAAAGTAGATAAAAGTAGTAAAAGAAATCATATCTCTGAGTTATATTTTACCAGAAAATCTATCAGAAAATGACCACGCCAGATTAAAGGATCTACACATTAATGTTGACAACATGTATATCTCTAAAGCTAAAGGAGCATTCATACACCCAAGAAAGAAATGGCTAGAAGAGGGGGAGCAAAATACTTTTTCTTTTTTTAACTAGAGAAACAACATAAAAATAACTCGGTTACAAAACTGAAAATAGACAATAACATTTGCCGAGATTCTACTCAAAATTCAGAATTCTGTGAACATTTTTACAAAAATCTTTATAACACAAAAATCTCAGATGACAGAGTGGATCAATTTATGAATTCTCTAAATATTATTAAACAAATAAGCAAATTCCCAAAAAAAGATTGCGACTCCCACATCACTAGCGAAGACATAGAAGCTTCCATTAACAAACTAAAATTTAATAAATGTCCGGGTACGGATGGGCTGACTACAGAGTTTTACAAGAAATAATCCAAGGAATTATCACCATTCTTATACAAAGTTTATGTCGAAAACTTAAAATACGGAGCACTTCCTCCAACAATGTCCCAAGGCCTTATTACCTAACTCCCTAAACCAAACACAGACAAATTATTATTAGATTATTGGCCTCCTATTACCCTATACTTCAAAATGATTACAAAATAATTGCAAGTTGCATTGCTAAAAAACTCAAAAGTCATCTTGATGAAACCCAATCAGGCTTTGCTGCGGGAAGACACGTAACCAATAACATCAGACTAGAACTAGATATATTAGGTTATTCGGACTTAACTGGAGATGGTGGATTTATTTTATTTTTAGATTTCTTTAAAGCTTTCGACACAATTTTATGTTTAAACCGCTAGAAAATTTCGGCTTTGGAGAACCATTCATAAAAAATATTCAGATGCTTTATAACAATAGCAACGCAACTATAAAACTATCCAGTGGTGGCTCCAAAAGATTTTAAATCAAAAGAGGCCTTAGACAAGGCTGCCCAGCCTCTCCCTACTTACTTATATTAGCAATGCAAATCTTATCGACTATTATTTAAAAAAGTAACTTACAAGGTATACATATGGCTAATAGAAGCTTTATCATCTCCCAACTCGCTGAAGATACAGCCCTCTTTCTGAAAAACAAATGAAATTAAAAAGCGCTTGACATCATCAGTTCATTCTCCAAGGCCTCAGGATTAACGGTAAATATTAGCAAAAGTGAACTACTGCCCCTTAAAACTACTCCTGAAAAAGAGTTATACGGCATCCCAATAAAAAACATTATTAAATACTTAGGAATAACCATACAAAAAATGAAGGTATAAGATCATTAGAAAACTTTGATCCCTTGATAAAATCTGTAGAACAAAGATTTAACCTCCGGCTCCAGAGGGACCTCTCCCTTGCTGGGAGATCTCCGATAACAGAGGCAGAAGGATTATCTGGACTAGTTTACACGGCTCTTGCTCTAGAGGTCCCACAAAAATGCTGTGCCACTATAGATAAATTAATCTTCAACTTTATATGGAAAAATAAATGCCATCTCATTAAAAAAACGTCATGATGAATAGGCCGGACAGAGGCGGAATTGATGCATTAAGATTTTTCATCGCTAAACACTACTTTTTAAATCAAATGCGTTAAAAACCTTTTAAAAAATCCTTACTCTATATGGAACGCAGTACCTTTATACATTTTTAATACGGTTGGTGGTTTACCATTTTTACTAAGATGTAACTACAACGAGCTTAAAATCCCGCTGAAACTATCACTTTACCACAAGCAAATGTTACTACGCTGGTCACTCATGTACAAACAACTTTTCACCTCACAAATATTACATTTGGAACAATAATGATATTAAACACAAGAATAAAACACTTTTCTGCTAAAAGTGGTATGATAAAGGCATAATCTTGGTCAGTCAGTTGCTGGATGCAAATGGTAATTTACTGTCATACTCACAATTCATGACTCTTTACCAATTCCCTGTGCCAACCAAAGACTACGCTGTTCTATTTGATGCAATACCCAGCGGTGTACTTCAACTTCTATCATCAGCACCCAAAGGAAAAGACGTCATCACACCTTCACTTGATCCAAAGGACATTTTATTGACCCAGACTATCCTTTTATAAGCAACAAAGTGTCTAACAAAGTCATTAGAAACACGGTTATGAGAAATGTTGCATCTTCACCAGCGTGTATACCGTAAATCCTCTAATACAGGCCCGGGCCTGTATTTGACTGAAGCTCATCAAGCTCCAGGCCTTCATTGGAAGGAGGGCCAGAATTAGAGGCAGGCCTCTATTTCTATTTGAGCAAAATGAACTAATGGTTCGCTGGAGTTTTTGACAATTAAAATTGCGCCCACATTTTCAAAGTTAAACACATTTCTTTTAACAACGGTAGTTTCTGCTTCAGCCCTCTCCCCCCTCCCCCTGCTTCAGCCCTCTCCCCCCTCCCCCTGCTTCAGCCCTCTCCCCCCTCCCCCTGCTGAGCGGCCGCAAACTCACTGATGCTCCTGCAGCCTCTCGGAGTTCCTGTTGCTCTAAACATTAAAATAATTATTTCATTTTCTGTTCCTCACTTCTGATTACCTTCAATGGTGTCTGTTTGTTGCAACCAGCAGGTACAAAAACTAACTTGTTTTTATTGGACTATTTTTCTGTCCTGCCTGTTTATTATCTTCCTGCATCTCCTCTCAATCCTAAAGAGAAACTGCTACCTGGGTTCATATATATTCACCTCATGAGTTACCTTTGAACTGCAGTTCTAAAAGATCTACCGACCAGAAAACAGCGGAGTGCTCGCTGCTTGGTGGCCGCGTGATCGGTGCGTCACCGTCAAGGTGATGCGCCGCGCTCCACAGCCAAACGCATCAGGCGCAAATAAAAGATAGAAAACATCAAAGGAAATGAACCGACATGAACGATCGCGTGTTAAATGTGGCGACACCTGATTGTTACTGTGGCCGTGCTCAGGAGGCAGATCTACCGCAAAAACAGCGGAGTGCTCCGTGCTTGGCGGGTGCATCAGTGATCGGTGCGTCACCGGAGGACAAGCTGATGTGCCCCGCTCCACAGCAGCAAAACACATCA